GATCCTTGCTTTTTATACTATCCTTGTGGACGAGGTAGAGAGACGTGGGCTGTTAGGTTCTTAATGAATGTTGCAATTGAATTGATTTGCTCTGGGTCTGACAAAGCTGCATGCCAAAAATGGATATAGATATAGATGCAGATAGATATAAATATAGCTACAGATATATGCTAGTGGCAAAGCATATGTAAGGGTAAAAACTTTGGTGACTGGAAGCTTTTAAAATGAGTGTGAGCCCTCAAATGAAAACATTTCCAATCCTTACAAACCTAAGGCTTAAGGAATTAGTAACTTAGGCTTTCCCCTGTCTCCTGAATGGCCTAGAGATTGGTGAAATTATTGAGAAAGATATGAATGATGAGCAAGGTTCTCTATTTTGATGTTACCTCAAAATGTTTCTACACATGTATCATGTCCATGTTCATGATACACGGTCCGTTTTTGTTGAGGGCCGATCCTAAGAGTCTGATAAGGGTTTAAGATCCAAGGCAGAGTTTGACCTCTGCTCAGGCTTTCACCCCAAAGGGCTCAGGGATTAAGTGGTACAGCTCCCCAATTCCTTCCTGATAAAGAGGTCTCTGAAGCATCCCTTCTCTCTCTTTGAACCTTAGGTTTACATATTTACTCCTCTATGCAGGTGGCGCCTAGGCACCTGGGAAAACCTTGGAATCTACAACCCAATCTAGGAACCCTGATAGGGAGGAAATTCATGATTGTTACATCCTCAGCAGATGTTCTGGGGAGTATCTCAAGGGGAGGACTCTTTGAAGTTAGGCTAGATCTTCCTTATATATTCTGTGCCCTCAGATGAATAAACTGAGTCAGTAATTCTACTCTGCCTGGCCCATGTCATAAGTTATTTCACGCCTCTCCGTTTGGTGTACAATCTGGTTGCGGGCAACACTGTTTTTTGGTGGAAACACAGATGAATGAATGGATTGATAAGAGAAATATTTCAAAATGACCCTACCACTTCATGCACTATTATCCTTTTACCACTAACTTTTCTCCACAAAGTGAAATTTTAGCCTCAGCGTTTGACACATTGGTGTTCTCATTTGGTTGTTTCAATTGTTTTTGACTCCTCATGACCCCATTTTGTGATTTTTCTTGGCAGAGGTACTGTAGTGTTTTGCCATTTCCTTCTTCAGCTCATTTTATAGATGAGAAACTGAGGTAAACAGGGTTAAGTGACTTGTCCAGGGTCACATAGCTAGTGTCTGAAGCCAGATTTGAACTCATGAGGATGAGTCTTCCTGATTCCATGCCCAGCGCTCTATCCACTGCACAATCCTTGTCAAATCGAATTGAAATGAGAGGTAATAAAACTCAAGTAAATATGTTGCCCATGAAAGCAAATCTGAGAAATTCCATCTTTTCCTCACCTCCCAAAAAATGCATTTCCTTTTCCTTGACAGAATTGTTACCATAGGAATTTTGCCTGAACGGTTCCAACGACCTCAAAGCTCCACCTGGTTTTGTTTCTATGTTCTTAAAGAAGCTCTTTAGAAGTCTTAGAAAAATCCCAGAAATACAGAAGTGGTTGAGATTTTTGCGGCCACAATACGCGGTCCAGATTTGTTGTCAATTTCCCTGCCAACAAGGCTTAAATTATTCCTCAAGTAAAACTCCTCCACTGTAGAGATCTTTAGATCAATCAGTATAAAGTTTCATCTGTGAAAATTACCTTTCTGTTAGAGCTGAGATTAATTTCTTTTTGCTTGAGAGAAATGACATGCCCTAGTAATTTTCATATTTCCTTTAAAAATGGAACATCGGGCCTTTGATGCGAAATTTCCTAAAAATGACCCCCCAAAAATACATCAAAACATTTCTATTCATTCATGGAATTAAGAAAAGCCTTTTACATTTTCTCCTGTCACTGATTCCATTTGCCTTATTACTTTCATCTGTAGCCCACAAACTTGGTGGCACATTCAACAAACCCCTTAGTGGCTGTTTCATCTCTGCTCTATTTGATTTCTTCTCTCTGAGTAAATGATTAAGTTTTCATGCATTGGTTCAACCAAAATCTATGTTCACTCAACCACATCCTTTATTGATTACTTCTACTGCAAACAGTAGGCCAAGTGTGATATACATAATTGGACAGTTGTCAGGGGATGTGGGTGTTAACAGTCCTGTTTTCCCAGTTGGAAACTGGAATCACCTTGATACACAAATATTCTGCACTGCTTCATTCTCATTCTTTGGACCGAGGAGTCCTGTTCCTCGGAATATATGTTTTTAACTCTCTAAGGCCTGGTTGAATGAATCTAATGATTATACCATATAATATGCTCTCCGACTTGCACCTGTGCACTGCATATAGAAAACTGGAATTAATATTTGTCTAACACTTTAACCTTGTCCTTTAACTTATACAAATCATCTGCAGCTTTTCGGGGTGGAAATGTTTGATTTTTCTCCCCCCTGAAGGGAAGATTGGTTTCTAAATCTATTGTTAAATTTAAAATTTAGAAACCTTTTGACCTAAAGAGAGGGCTTACAATATATGTTCCAGATGATATATTAACAATTTGGCTGAATATAGAACTGCATATTACTTGGACAATGTATATTGTATAACCAGAGAAAGATTTTTTTTTCCTTTAGCATTCTGTATCTATGGCAAGCTCTAGGTAATTCCTGGATGTTTCAGAAAGCTATTGCTCTAATAGGGAAAAGAGAGGAGGAAATCAGACTCATCTGGATATAGTTGCATTTTCACTTTGTATTTCTAGTTCACTGAACTTACTCTTTTTCTGCTGTCACATACCTCAACCTCAGCTGGAATAGCTGAGTGTGGGGTGTGCCGCCATCAAAAATATATCTGCTTTTAGGGATATGAACTTAAATAAGCTTCACTGAGTCCATTTGACTATGGAGATGATTTTACCCCAAGGTTTTGGAGAGATGTGTAAAATAAGCCACCAATTTTCATCTTTTTTTCATAGATTCAATTTTCTTTTGAAGGTCACAGTCTAGAAACAGTGCTGAGAAATGCATATTGGGCCAGAAAAGTCTGATGCAGGCTTGCCAAAGCATTTCCAGTTCTAAAGATGATGGTCTCTTACTGAGGTGTTCTCTTGCTTTCCTTTTTTTCCTCTTACCTGATAACAAATGTCTATTATCCCACAATATACAGATAAAAGTTATTATAATATGAATGTCTCCCTGATGTCATCTCTTGCCCATAAAATCTTGGGTTCAGTCTACACCTGAGAAATTCCAGTTCATGACTGACTGTTCTCTGGAGAGCTCTGCTAAATCTTAAGCACAGAACAAGAGAGCCTTGGAAAGGAGGACAGGCTAATAAAGGCTAATTCCTCAAACACTAGAGATGTTTTCTCCCTTTCTTCCCCCTCATTTCACTCAGGAACACAACTTGAAATAGGTTCAGAATCCCATTCTACCCTATTTCTGACCCATAGAGCATGAAGTTAATGTGAGAAAGAAGTTATATAGTAGTTGACCTTTGTTTTCCTATGGAATCACCCTAAGAAAATTGTGTGGGTCATTTTATTTGACACAATACACTTTCAAACCATAACAGAAAGTACAAAGCCAGCTACCTCCTACACAACATCGAAGGCAAGGGGAGCATTAGCACTTCAGCTCATACTTAGATACAACTCTACAGTTTAGTGGCAAACATACCAAAATTAAGCTTTAAAATTGGCATCAGCATCTGTTGCATGTGTTTTTGTATATTTTCAATAATGGCAAATTTTCATCCCCTGTTTTATGGTTGGAGGAGGGAATTGGGGGAAGGGAAGTGATAGCTAAAAGTTATCTGAAACAAAGTCTTGTGAATATTTCAAATATTAATTTTTTCATCTGGTTCGCTTATTATCTCTGAAAGCAGTTCCCAAAAATAATTCCAGGGAATGTTTCGAACAATCTTAGTATTATTTGAATAAGTATATAATCCCACCAAAGTGGCTACTTTGAAAAGGAGAAGATTCATTTGTATGTAAATACAAAGCTTCTTATCCTCAGTCAGAGGATTCAGGACTCTACACCACTCTGGCTTAGCCAAGACATTTGTATTACTTGTAAGGGGAGAATTGGGCCATCAGCACACAAGTGGTGGATCCCACAGCCATGTTCTTCCACCATGTGGAATATATCTGACCAATTTATAATCTTATGTCTAGGTAAGAGAAGACAATAAATCAGAGATGGTATTGAATAAATTAGGGATGGAGTGGATGAATGGTCAGGCCCTTCTTGGGTGCGGCCTTTTGACTGAGTCCAAGTTTTACAGAACAAAGCCTTTTATTAAAGGGATTTGTTCTGTGAAGTTTGGATTGAGTCTAAGTGAGGACCTACAGGGCCACACGTGGCCTCACACGTATGGCTGCAGGTTCCCCACCCCTGGGCTATGGGTTGTCCTACAATACCAGGAGAAGAAAGTTCCTTGCAGTAGCTCCGGAGCCTAGCATAGGTTTAGGCACCTAGAAGGCACTTGCTACTTTTCTGACTGATTGTTGTTTCTTGAGCTTGATGAAGGAATCATTAGTGCCCAAACTGTGATTGTGTCCTTATGCCAGGAATTAGTACTGCAGATTGAACCAGAGCTTTCTATTGTTCTGCTTAGAGACAGCATTTCTTTCTCATGTAGCAATACTTAGTCTACCCACAGATCTTCATGGTGATAAGACTCTTGCTAGAAGCTCAACAAAACAAGACAGGCTGAAGGTCCTGATTTCTCCCTCTGGCACATGGGCATTGTACCTTTTTTTGGGTCTCACTTCCACTAGTCTAGAAGCTTGACAAAATATCCAATTTTTTTTTCCAACTATATCTCAAGTCCTGGAAAATTTCCTTGGGTGGGATAATTCAAAATTTAGTTTCTTAACTGCCACACATAGGACAGGAAGGGGTTGAGTAAACTCCAGACTCACCAGAAGAGAAGAAGAGGGGAGATAAAAGATCAGTCTTTAATCACTATTAACCCACATTTCGGGAATTTTTCTCTTGTTATTCAATTCCAGCCAAGGAAACATGATGGAAGCCCTTACTTTCTTGGAAAAAGTTGTGGAAATTGCAAAAAATACTTACCAAAAAAGAAGAATGGTAGAAGCCTGTACAATGCTTGGGGACATTTACAATGCAAAAGTGAGTATTTTTAGGAAGAAATGAGTAGTCACACCAGGGTAATGTTACCCTCTCCCACCCCATTTGACCCTCACCATATTATACTAATCCTTCTCCCTCTGCCTACAAAATTTAGTAAGTCTACCAGACATGAGTCAGCAAGGGTTTTTTTTTGCTATTATCTCTTCCCTTTGGTTGAAAAGTTTAGAACAGAAATGTCTAATGAGGAACTGATACCTAAGATGGAGAGAAATCATTGAAATAACTTGTTGAGGGAGGGCGATGGGAAGAAAGAACTAGTATCTAGGATTGACAACAAATTGTGTGTCATCTCTGAAAGATGGTGGAGAACAGGAGGAAAGCCACAAGAATGTTTTCCAGTTTCCAACAAAGAGAAGAAAGTAGAGTCCATACAATATGGGTCATTGAGCTTGTCTTTGATTCCTGACAAAACTCTACCAAGTATCATGAACTGGTAGCCGTGATGCCAAAGAGCTAGCATGTCTCAATAAAGAACTGGTCAGGCCAGACTAAGCTCATTTCTTTTGTTATTTATCTTCATATACACATAGGGCTAAGCCAGTAGTTGGGAGATTACTGATAATTACTGATAATTCACTGATTTTAACAAGGCATTTGACAAAGTCTCTGATTCTTGTCTTGAGAAAAATAAAGATAAGTTTAAGTTAGAGTTGGACCATTAGGTAGATTCAGAGTTGGTTGAATGGCTGGTCCCAAATGGGTCACCAATGGAGTGGCACCATCTTGGAAAGATATCTCTAGTGGAGAGCCCAAAGGTCTACATTTAACCTTGTACTGATTAACATTTTTATGGATGACTTGGATGAAGACATAGATGAATTGTTTAAAAAATGTACACAAAGTCAAGAGGCTGGCAAGCTTTATGACAAGACCTGAAAAGATCAACTGACTAGAATGTTGGGTCAGATTTCATAAGATGAAATTTATATTTGGGTTTAAAAAGAGGCAGCTAGGTGGTACAATGGATAGAGTGCTGGATTTGGATTTGGAAAGGCCTGAGTTCAAGTCCAGCCTCAGACACTTAATAGCTGTGTGATCGTAGGCAAGTGACTTAACTTTTATCAGCCTCAGTTTCCTCCTCTGTAAAATGGGGTTAATAATAGCACTTTAACTCCCAGGGCTGTTGTGAGAATAAAATGAAATAATATTTGTAAAGCACTTTGAAAATCTTAAATTGAGAAGATTTTGCAAGGTATGTGATAATTTTTTTGAATGTTTGAAAGATTGTCATGGGGAGAAGAGTTAGGCTTCTTCAGTATGGCTCTAGAGGACAGGGCCCTCCTGGAGGAGAGATGGATGGATAGAAGCTTCCAAGAAGTGGATTGAATCTCAGTGCAAGGACAAAATTTCTGAAGGTTAGAATTGTCCAGTAATAGAACAGATTGCTTCCAAGGTGGCGCCTTCCTCTCTTTGGAGGTCCTTGTTGTTTGTGTTTGTCCTTCATCCTTGAAAAGGACCATGACTTCAGGGAGGCGATGCCATAACATGCAGGTGAATTGGATTTAAGTGAGGGAGGGCTGTGCGAAGTCATCAGCCTCAAGAGCCTCTGGGTCCAGTGGCCAGATATAGATCAGGACCACTGGAGATGGCCCTGGATGCAGTGGGAGACCTTGGTCTTTTTCAGTTAAGGTCTTTCCCAGGTCTCAATGTGACTGAGGCAATGTCCATTTAGTGATTAAGGCTAAGTGAGAATGAGAAAGAGAATGGTGTCTTTTACCAAGTCAAATAAAAAAAAAATCCAGTCTGGGAGGGAAGCCTTCAGGGTTTCTGACCAAAACAGGAATAATTGCTGTTTACATTCTCCTTGAGCCAGTCAGGGCCCAAAGAGTGGGACTTGGCCTGGGACCTAGTGTTGGCCAATCAATGAACTAGAGTGATTTGGGTTTAAGGCATTAGGCATCCTGTGGATGATCACTTGTCAGGAAGTTGTAGTGAGTAGAGGCTGACCCAAATGACTTCTGGTGGCCCCTTCCGAGGCTGAGATTCTGCTGCTCTGTAAACTTTACATCTCCCTCCATACCTAGCTCTGCACACAGTAGGTTTTAATAAATGCTTGTCGAATTAAGGACTGGAGAAGCAGGCCTCACTCACTCCCATTGGTCTAGAAACTTGACAAAACACCCAGATTTTTCTCCAACTGTATCTCAAGCACAGGCAAATAGAGACAAATAGTAGAGGGTATTGAATTAATAAGAACTAGCATTTATGTAGCCCTTACTATGTGCCAAACACCGTAAAGCACTTTATAAATATTGTCCCCTTTGATCTTCACAACAATCCTAGGAGGTAGGTGCTATTATTATCATCCCCATTTTACAGATGAAAGACACTGAGGCAAACAGGTTAAGTGGATTGCCAGGGTCACATAGCTAGTAAGTGTCTGAGGCTGGATTTAAACTCTGGTCTTCCTGACTCCAAATAGTCTAAAGAGCTTGCACTATATCTGATTTCTGAGGAGGCACTATTTAAAATCAGAACTCTGCATTAGGAAGTTTGCTCTTCTTAATTCCCTGTTTAATGAAAGACAGAGAGAATGCAAGACAAACAGAGGATGGAGTACCATTTGGGAGGCCATTACAATGGTCTAAGAGCAAATTGATGAAGACATGAGCTAGCATGGTGATCATGGGAAATAGAAATAGATCATAGCTGGGAGAGAAACTGAGAGGTAGAATAGACGAAATACGGACCCTAACTGGAGGTGTCAGTTTCTTCTGGGAAAGCAAAAAGAAGTTGAAAGATGTCAATGGTTTTAAGCCAGTGATAATGATAAGACAAATTACAAAGTTGGAAAGAGGAACAGTACATTTGGTAGAAGGTAGATTCAGTTTAGGATAGACGAAATCTGAACAGCCAATGGAACATGCACTCCTGCAGGTAGTTGGAGGTGTGGGACTGGAGCTAAGTGGAGTTTTCAGGGCTGGAAATAGAAATCCATTTCGAACTAATCCTGAGTCCCATTTCCTTTTTCAACCATTGGACAAACATTTAAGCACTTGCTACATGCTAGGCATTGTACTGAGCTCTAGGGGTAACCAAAAAATAAAAAAAACCAAAACAGTCCCTACCCTCAAGGAACTCACGTTCTAATGGAGGACACATGTCTAGAAATAGCCTCATAGAAGGTATTCTCAGAATAGATGAAAGGGAGCATTAGAGAAAAGAAAGCCTCTAGTACTTTGGAAGAAACAGAAGAAGCCTCCTCCAAAAACGTGAGCTGATTCTTGAAGAAAACCAGGGATTCTCAGAGGCACGGGTAAAGAAGGAGTGCATTCTAGGCATGGGGGACGTCAGTGCAGAGGCCTGGGGAAAGAAGATGGAGTGTAACTCTCAAAGAAGAGCACATAAGCCAACATGGCTGCATTAGGGTGTGTAGATGGGAGAAAGTCTAATATTCTTAAAGCAGGATAGAGCCAGGTTATGAAAAGCTTTAGATGCCAAACAAGAAACTTTAGACAAATCTACGCTGGTTCTCAACTGTTCCTTTACTCTGGAAACTGAGCATTTGCATTACAACTTGCTTATGGCAGCCCTTTCTTCTGAAGCTTATAGACAAACAGTAATTTCTAATGGACAGTATAGATTTATAGGTATATATAACCTATATGTAATATATATGAATATAACCAGAATGCAGTTGGAACCATAGAAATTCATGGTTCCCCACCAGCCCTTTATAATTTGCAAAGAGCTTTCATATAGAACACGTTGCATTCAGTGCTTTCATCTTTCCATAATTCTCTGCAAAGATGGTCACCTTCTGGCAGCTTTCAATAAGTCCATTTTCAAGAATATCCAAAATTCTAACTGTGAATAAGAACATTGTGATCTGGGCCCATTCAGAATGCAACATCCTCCAAAGAGCTACGAGGACTCCCTTGGGTCTCAATCCCTTTCACAGGAATGTTTTCTACTCTACCTTTCTTTAGTTAAAGGTAGTTGAATGCTTTATTGTGGGCATTCTCAAGAATAATTCCAACAGATTCTGCAAATTGCCTTTAATCTTATAATACAGACCAGGTAATAACTTACATCACTTTAATCCTATGAACCTTCTCTCAGCAAAGAATAATTCTTCTAAATTTCCTTTCTTTAGTTTATGAGCATTTGTAGATTATAAGAATGTTTTGTTTTGTTTTTCTATAGAAAAAATTAAAAAGAATAGGTAATACTACCATCATTCAGGATGACAGGAAATTGTCTCCAGGGCTAACTATCCAAATCTTTTGCTGTGATCACAAGTAAAAGAATTCTGTGGTCTTATAATGATCTCTGTACATTATGTACACCGCGTAGTTCTGGTAGCCCAAGTATTTGATATGAACAGTAGTCTGGATGAAGGAGAAAATAAAGATGATTCATAGGAGCCGATTAAACCAGTAAGGAGGCATATGGACATTGGCAGAACCCTGAGAGGATCTGCCAATTTTCCACTGTGATTTTCTATATAATTTCCAGCTTTATAGCAACAGTTTTGATCATGTGTTTGTAATATTTTAAAAATAATTATCAACTGACAATCTAAATCATCCATCAAAAATCAAAGCCATAATGCAAATAAAAAACACAAAATTAGAATGAATTACTGACTTGATGTTCAGTATTATTTAGATCACTTAATATTTTTCCAGGATTTTCCAAGAAATGTCATTTCTTAAGTTTCCATACTGTACAGTGGGCACCATTCTGGGTAGCCGCATTTTGGTGGAGATAGTATGCAGACTTGGTGTCAGGAAGACATAGGTTCAAACTCTGCCTCTGACTTGTGACCACTGGCAAAACCTTCAGTTTTAGTTTCTCCATTGATAGATGGACTATATTTTAGGGCTGCCTCATAAGATTGTGATATCTCAAAGAGATAATGTATGTAAAATGTTTTGCAAACTTTGAAGTGCTATATACAATGTTAGTTATGATTCTCTTTTAAAAAGTAATCTCATGAGGGCAAAAATTGTTTCTTCTTCTTCTTTTTTTTAATC